GCCCAGGCAAGGGATAGATTTAATCATTTTTGAAACAAAAATAAAACACACCATCAACTGCTTCAGTCCATAACCATAGATAAGTGTAATAAAGAATCAAGCCTCATGCTCTGGCAATTTTTTGTCTCCATCCTTTTTATCTGGAACATAACAGAGTGGAATCATTTACAGCATGTTAAGCTCTCTACCTTTATTTACCATACTTGAGATGATGGAATACTTTTGCAGTAGCTTGAAGACAATTTGATGCTGTTGATGAAAGAGACATTAATGCTTAAAGTACAATAAATGCCACCGTGAAGTGGTAGCATTTTCTCAAGTCTGATTCAGACTTTGATATACTGATATCTTATACCTTTCCATGGGTGGAATCCTTAACTTATAAACAGAAAAGATGGCTTTCTAAATTACCGGACAAGTAAATACAAGTTACATTTCTATGAAACACCAACAGGTCTTAAGTTCATCTTGAACACAGACTTAAATGCTGGAAGCATCAAAGATGTCCTCTTCAATATATACAGCAAGGTAAGTATAGCATTTGTAATGTATACAGAGGGTAATTTTCTAAAGAATTGTGATGCTGCGTCAGTGGGAGAGTATAACAGGTAATTTGGTATTAACAACTGAGTTGAAAACATAAATTGGCCATTGTAAAGAGTTTAAAGGCTGATGTTTCAAGTGTTAGCCCTTCGTCAGAGCAATTGGAGGAATTGTGTTTTGTGGCTTTCCAAACTGCCTTGATGTAGGGAAAGGCTGCAAACAGCCATATACTGTTTAGGATGATTGGGGAGATTAAAGTGTCTACTGACTGGTTTGGATGCGTCCTTGTCATTTCTTTCTGTTTCTGTTTCTGTCTGTTTCTGTCATTTAAGCGGGCCGCCACCATGCCCAACAAATTTATCAACAATCAGCACTACAAATGGCTGAGAAGGAAAACATTGACCACATTCCATTCACTCTCACATTTCACCCTCACAACCATGCTGTTAAAAACTTGAAATTACTCCAAAACAATTCAGAGATTGGTACTATCTTTTTGCAACCTCCACTAATTTCATTCAAATGTGACAAAAACATAGGCAACTTTTTGGTCTGAAGTTCATTTTAAACCAGTGACCAACCTGGAACTCTCAAATGCGCTCATACACAATGCAAAACTTTTCCTTTCATTCATAATGTAGAGAAAATGTCGGGACCTAAGAGATCCATTTAGATCACTGATCACTTTACAGGAACCTTTGCCAATGCCATTTACTGCATAACTTTCCCTTAATGCAAAAAGTTATAAAACATGAAGACAACAACACCTTCGGGACGTAGAAAGAAATGGCAAGAACACGTCCAAACCAGTTGCTAGACACTTTAACCTCCCTAATTATTCTAAACAACATATGGCAGTTTGCAGCCTTTCCCTACATCTAGGCAGTTGGGAAAGTGGCAAAACACTTGAACAAAAAATACATCTTCCAAATAGGCACTTTTAGTCCCCATGGTATGAACGAGCACTTTTCATTCAACTAGTTTATTCTTGTTTTCTCATTACCATCTTCCCAACAATAGCCTAACTCCATTTTCTGCATATAAACCCACACACAACTCAAATTCCTCTAATGGCTCCGATGAAGGGCTAATGCTCAAAATGTCAGCCTTTAAACTCTTTATGGTGGCAAATTTACATTTTCAACTTACTTGTTAACACTAAATTACATTTGTAATGTAGTTGTAAAAAAAATAACAATGGCTACACCCAGGAGGTGCTTTATCAATCATTTGGTAATGGCACAATAAACTTTTCAGTTATCATGAGTGTTTTTCTTTTTTTTCATTTTCAGATTTATGTTGAGTATGTGGTAAAAAATCCTCTTTGTCAACTTAACGAACCCATCCAAAGCGAGTTGTTTACCTCCAAGTTGGACTCATATATAAGGAGTTTGACTATCTTTAATTGATATGAATGTGTAATCCAAAATTAAAAAAATTGATTTGAATTTTATTGTTCATTTTCCTTTCTGAAAAAGAACTGTTTAACATAGAGAAGACATGGAGAACTTTCCTGGTAGAAAACTTGCTCCCAGGACAGGCTAAAACATTTGTGCTGTTATTTTGTTATGATCAATGACTTCAAAAAGAAAAACTAAAGCAAACCATAAAGTTATATTACTTCTGGTGTGATTTCCCTCTTTTGACAGATTACTCTAAAATATTTTTGGGGCTCATAGTTTTATGAGTTTTAGTAGAGGCAATAAGCAATTTATTTTTTTCATTAGTTCCTATTCATTATTACTTTATCAATCTTGCCATTGGCAAGTATTATATATTAGTAGTGCCATTAAATTGTTAAGTAAGAATGTATGAAACAAGGAATGAAAGACAACTGTATTAATCACAAGATATCTCAAATGATGATTTATTATAAAATAAAAGCTATATTTGCCTAGCTCCGTAAAACATATTGACAAGTGAGAAAATAAATAAAATAATCAATATCAGCCTATCTCCAAGCACTGATCTTAGTCTGTTTTGTAGCAGCAGATTTGGCCTTAGGTTCTCTGCTTTGTAGTCCTACTCTTGCTGCTGACTTGGTTCCGTCTTGCACCCCAGCTTGGTTCATAAGGGAAGGACCCACTAGACTTGATACTTGTCTGACAGGCTGTTTGTGAGTTCTGGTCAGGCCTGGTTGCTCAGCAGATTTTGTAACCTGGCTTCCAGGTGGATTAATAGGGAGACCACTAACAGAAGGACCCTACAGTTGAAGGAAGATAGAAAATAGAAAATAGATAAGAAAAGAGGAAAAAAAATACATTTTTTTAGTTCACTCCATTTGGCTTGCCCATTGAATTCTCTACCACAGAGCAAAAGTGAACTTTTGAGCATGATAGGCTATAAACTAAATTTACTGGTATGTTAGCCTGCGTACTGGTATGCTAGTATGCACCCTGCATACTGTTAAATATTGAAAGATACTTAAAATTTGATGCAAATTTCAAAATGTTATCTAATGATCTTAGAGCTCTCTTAGATCAAATTAAGTCAGTGATATTTATCTTGGCAAAGGAATCCCTTCAATTAAAGATTAGACTGGTTGATACATTAACTCTGCCCTTCACCACCTTATATAGGCAGCACTCAATCAGTTAATGGGAGCAGTGACTGCAGTTTGCTACCTGTCTCTTGTGAGAGTTAGTGTCCAGACTTCTTCTAGCCTTGTTGGCTATCATGTGTTGTTTTTGCAGAGCCTGGGAAGGAGAATTCCTTACACTATGTCCCAGTACATGGTGCTCATGTGTGCTGTGGGCCTTGGTACTGACTGGGCTTGATGCTGCTGATGTTGTGAGACTGTTACCCATTGGGTTGCTGATAGGGGAATATAGCCAGTAACAAAGCATACTTAAAATGATTTTCAGTCACAATTATAATAATGGAAAAATTAAATCTGACCACTTTAAGATTAGCTTTCAAAGGAAATAACTAGTTTTTTAGGTCACAATGTGCACCTTAACCCTTTAACTCCAGTGAGTGACCAAGGCAGAATTTCTCCTTACTATATCTATACAATATCATACAGACAAGTGATGAGAATAAATAAAAATATCAATTATGGAGGCACGGTGGCCTCATGGTTAGTACACTTGACTCCGTATCAAGTGGTCTGGGTTAGTGCCCTGGCCAAGGTCATTGTGTTGTTCTTAGGCAAGACACTTTACTCTCACTGTGCTTCTCTTCACCCAGGTGTACAAATGGTACCAGCAAATATGCTGGGGGTAACCCCGTGATGGGATCCAGGGGGGAGTAACAATACTCCTAGCCACTTCCTGTTAAGGAAACCAAATTCTCCAAACTAACTTAATGAGAATCATTTGGCAGACAGTAAGGAGAATTACTAATGAGATCTTGGGAGTTAAAGGGTTAAAGGAGAACTCACTTGTTCTGCACTCTTCTGAGGTAAGCGAAGAGTTGTTCAGCTGTAATCTGTGGCTGACCGGGTTCTGAAAATAGTCCAAGCATTCTAGACAGCTGACCAACTTGGTGAGGAGTTAATGCTCCTGGGAGAGGATGATGGTCATCACTGTCTCGTTCTCTCCGGGGTGGTGTGTGAGGTGCAACTTGACCTATTCGAGTGTGTGGTGCATGTAATGGTACCTGATTAAATTGAAATTGGAACAGAGATATTACGAAGGACCACCAAACCCTAATATCTTCAAAACTTTATTTCGTAAACACAAACACTATTGAGTCACACAATTTAACAATTACCTGACTTGTAATACCAACATCTTCTCTGGCTTGGCTTGGAATGCTAAGTGTACCTGGTGTGACTGTGGTTTTTGTGAAGGCAGCTTGTGGTGGGTGTGCTTTATGTTTAACTTCCTGTGAAATGATCAGGGTCACACCATGAATGTTTCAATGTGCATGTTCTTTGGAGAATTTAGAATGCCAAATTTCAACAGAATTTACTTAGAAGAAACATGAGTCCATTCTAGAATATGATAGAGTTTGAGGACACTTTCTGAAACATCAATTAGTGTGATCAGAGTTTACAATGTGCACTTTGATTGGTTGATTTAACTGGCTTTAACCTACTGCATACCTGCTAAACTTAAATGCTAATTTTTTTGCAAAAACCTCTTATTAGTTATTGTCAATTGCTTCAAGGTTCAATGAGCCAATGGAAATTGAAATATTTTGTTTTCTTTGAATTATTTTTGATAAAGAGCTGGTGACTCAGTAATGATTTTGAAATAATTGTTTCTGTTTTCCCCAAGTGTCAGTAAATTATAGCCATTTTGTATGCCTTTAAATCATTCCTAAACCAGTTAGATACACAATGAAAATACAAAAATGTATCCCTAGCCCTGTCTTCTTGGTCCATGAGAGGTGTTGTATATTACCAAGTGGAATACCTGATAGGAATGTGAACTTGAGTCTTTGAATGAATGGTGGTGTGAGGACATCAGATGTCTTTGCTCAAACTGACCATCTGAATGAATGGGAGAAATTACTTCTGAGGAAGAGTTAGAGTATCTGTCTGAGGTTCAAAGGAAGAGAATCAACATACATAATTGTAAGTAAGTTCACATAGCTGTAGAGATGACACTGTTTGCCTGATGTAAAAATCTCACTTAGAAAGGAAAATAACCTCTTCAGTACTGACCCATCAACTCTAGGACTAAACCTCACACTTGTTGGCAATTTCCAAAAGGAGCCAACTTTGAGAGTAAATTGACCCTTGTAAGTGAAAAACCATAAACCTTCTGATAAACATAGGATTTTATTCAAACTAAGCATTTAATTCATTGGAAATAAATAATCAAAGGTTTTGAATATTAAGTAGTAGGGATTTTGGTTTTTAACAAATTCAAAGAAAACAGAAATATTTTGTAGAATAAGGTTTGACTGAAGTGCTATCAAACAAACCTTGCACATCACTGGATGAAGGGATCAGCCTAAGTCCATTAGGGAGGTGATCTTTTTCCTGCTGTAAAAATAATAAGATGCAAGAAAATTAAAAATCAAAGCTTTGAATTTAAAAAAAGAATAAGGAAACCAGTTTTTTTTTCTGAAAGAGTCTATGTTACCTTATAGGGTTGATCTGCAGGTGATCTTTGCAGAAGCTGTGAGTAAGTATACTGAATCAGTAAGTCAACCACGTCATATCATTGCATTTTATAATACCATCCTTAATCATTAGAAGATAACAAAGTTAGAATAATGTGTCTGTCAGTAATAAAACAAATTCAGAGTAAAAAAACAAAGGACAAAACAAAGTGTTAACAGTTTTTTTGAAAACATTCACCATTTTCACATAGTGGTTTAATTCTGCCTGGCGTGATTCCTGCTGCTGAAGTTTCTCTGTTATGGTATCCTCAGTCACAGCTGCAGGGGAGACATTCCTGTCAATCACAAAAAAAATCCAAATTTTACCAGATTTACTACATCATAATTCATGCACATACATTTGAGATTTAGGCAAATGTCCTTTTCCAAGAAGAACACTTTTATTAGTCTATAAATGTTTTCATGCAACTTAGAATATAATGATTATGACTATAATAATATAAATTTCATAAAATTTAAACAAGGCCTTACCTTTCTCATAAACCTCTTTTAAATAAATCAAAACTCTAGTTTTTGGTTAGTTGTATCCCTTGACACAGTGAAACCTGTATTCAATAGACACTTCTAGTGGACAAAACTACATACTTTAATTTGTTACTACATGAGACCTCTATCATGAAAATAGCTCAACAATTAATACAATTTTATTTAGGTCTGAATAACTCACTCTGTTCTTTTTCAGGTTAAAAACTTTTTTTTATTCATAATTACTATTAATTATTACACCAGTATTAAGCAGACACTCTAAATAAAGCTTACACTGTTGAGAGTCCCACAGATGTCTCACCTAGGAAGATGGTTGTCTTGATGAAATACTGATAGTAATGTGTTTTCTGTATCTAGTTCTTGTTCGAGAAGTGTTTCTTCTCTGTCTTCATAAGCATCTCCATTGATCACAGACTATACAGAAAATGAAAATAAATTATTAATTTATTGATTACTGAATCTAAATTACAGTTCACAAAAGATTACACCTCAGGTAACATTTTAGAGGCTTACTGTAATTTGCGAAACAAAACATAACAGAACAAAACGAAACAAAAACCTTTAATTTGTGAAATGGAAATATGCTAATGATTTGCAAAAATAGAAATCTGTAATTTGCCCAAAGGAAATCTGTGATTTGCAAAATGAGAATCCCTGCCAAAAACTCCACAAGCCAAAAGAATGAATCAGTAAGTTCACCTAAAAACAACTAGAAAAAGTGAGAAATAAAAAATCTGTGTGGTGAACTTTGCGAAATCTCTACTAAGTTCGTGAATAACTCAATGCATTTTTTAGGCCATAGAGCACAAAAGTAATTTGAAATGTTAGTTGATGCTGTAGCTGTACTGTCTATAAGGTGTAATCAATGTATTATTTGGCAGGCTGCAATCCACACTTATGGTGAACTGATCAATTCATTCTTCTGGCTTGTGGAATTTTCTGTGGGGGTTCTTGTTTTGCAAATCACAGATTTCCAAGCATGTGCACTTCTTTCATTTCCATTTTGCAAATTACAGATTTCTATTATGCAAATCATTAGCATATTTCCATTTTTCAAATTACAGATTTCTAATTTGCAAATCATTAGCACATTTCCACTTTGTAGACAAATTTACAGATTTTCATTTTGTCTCATTTCGTTTTGCAAATTACAGTTAGCCATTTTAGTGTGATTCATGGTTCAGTAAAGAGGACAGTGAGGCAGCCAGTAATATATTTTTAGGAAAGGTGAGCTACAGCTTAAAACTAATTACCTGTCCCTCAATAACAGTCCTGTCATCATTGACAGTGTGAAGAGGAAAAAAGTCTGGATTTGCAGACTGGTCATGTGATAGCATCCCATGCCTAACCATGTCTCCATTGTTGCTAAGATAACTCTTTGAGTACATGCCACTATCAGTCTGAGAACTGTCATGGCTGATATTATGTGCTAATTTAGGTGTTACATAATTTGCTGAGATTTCATCAGGTATCTTCTGCTGGTGTTGATGTACCTGTGAAGATTGAAACAGAGCTGCTGTGATTGGTCCTTTACCAAGCTGGTAGCCTGTGTCTTTTTCCCAGTCAGAGTTTGACTCCTTGACATTCTTCGCAAAGGAGCTTTGATTGTGTACAAGCTGAAATTAAAATATTTATGCACTCAGACAATCTTAGTGGAGAAATGAGCTTACTGTTCTTTATCTTGAGGATATTTCACATTGTTTTTGTTTAATATTCTAGGCAGCATATGGTATACTCTTAGGGAGAATAATTATAGAATACCTGTTGTGTTTCAGACAGAGGGGACAATGAAGTTGTACTGGAATTCAACAGCTTGATGGCTTCCTCACAGTGAGACTGCATCATCTGCTGTAGACGCACAGACAGCATCTGTCTAAGTACCAATGAAAGTAATGAAAACCAGATCATTAGTCAGCTTGGAGCTATTCCAAATATTTTTATTAGATGTGACCAAAACATAATCATCAAGAATGCAGTAAACTGCTCTATTCTAGAGATATTGGTAGTTGACTTAAAAAAAATTACAGTTGTTACAGTATTATTAAACAATAACCTCATCAATGTGATCACCTTTCTTTCTCCAAGTAAAGCCTTGAGTTTGAGAGAGAAGCCATCTTTTCTTGGAAAGCACTGATTCTGGAACCAAAGAGTTACACGTTTTCAACCTTCAGGCTGGAATATTTATCAAATCTTATCTCTTGACAAAAATTGAAAACAATGATTTCGTTGAGAATTCAAATTAAAATACCTTTCTTTATATTCATCAGTAGTAGACTTCACCTTGATTTCCTTTTTTTTCAACTCCTGCATAAAAAGAATATATACATTTAAAAAATATATAAAAAGAATATGTAGATATATTACTATATATTCAAGAATATATGTGTAAAAGATGAGCTGTCATGATGTTTTTGGATGTAAGTAGATTTGTACCCTACTTTCAACAATTTTCTTGTATCTTTAACATGAAATTATGACTAGGGATACTTCTACTATAATATTATCAATTAATAAGTAATTAAAAGTAACCTCATGAAATTTTCCCAACTGCTGTTCAAGTTCTTCTTTGTGTTTCTTGCTCATCTCCAGAAGCTGTTAAAAAAGAGACATCACCTTATTCAGGGTTAGTGCCCTTTTTCAGAAACAAATTCTGTGGACTTTCTGGGACTTTTGCAGGACTCAAATTGATTTTTTCAAGACTCCAAATATCACTCTCAACCTTTTCATCCCCAAGATTTAAAAATCAATTCTCCTTACCATCTACATACATTTAGGACCAGGACCTTTTGTGTTTTTCCAGGACTTTCCAGTCCTGGAAAATGTCAACAAAAAATTCCAGGACATCTATGGTTATCTATCATGCAGTCTAACATCAGTATGCCATGAGATACCTGTTTTCTGTGTGATTCCCTTAATTCTGATTCTGTTTTTGACATTTGATCATGAATCTCTTCCAGCCGCTGAGTCATCTGACAAGTGCAAAATGAGAGAGAAAAATATTAATATCAAATGTCATTGATCACAGTGTTTTTTTAGTCTGGCCTAAAAAGTATTCCAGAAAAAATGCTGCTCTCGAATATTAAGTAATCCAGGAATATTGTCAACAACAATTAACAATTGACCTCTCTTTCCAGTTCAGCTTGCCTTTCAGTCTCTTCTTTGGTTCTATTTGCTTCATGTTTGGCTTCCATCAAACGTAACTCCATCTTCAAACCCTCCTAAAAGTTAAAAACAACCAAAGAAATAAGATTTGGAGAGAGCCTTTTTAGAATATTACAGAACATAGAAAATTAACTCAATCATTTGGGAACAGGAAAAAATCTTCATTCAAGTATAACTAATAAAAATACTGATCATGTGAATAAGAGAAGTTGTGGAAGAGATTTCTATTCTAGGAAACTGTAGAGGTCTCTTTGGGCCCTGAGTGAATCCTTTAGATTATCTGAAACCTTTTGGTAGAACAGGAAATCTTGGTCATAATGCTACAATAGAAATAAGTGCTACTTTAATTAAATAATCACTAATTAACTTAATTGTACAAAAAAGTGATTAAAAAAAAAGAGTCAAACCACAAGATTGGCTTTGGTAAGAGAATATTTGGATATCTCCTGCACTAGATACAGAAAGATATACTCAAAACCTTTTCTCTGTTACTTGCATCAAGCTCCATCTCAAGATGCTGTACTTCTTTCTGAACTGAGGCAAGGACAACTTGACTATCCTACAAAAGGGCAACAAACAGTTTGCAACACTACATAGAAAGCTAGAGCAGTAGCTAGTTCTAGAGCTTTTGAAATCTAATGTGACGACTCACCTTGGTATTCTGTATTTCCTTGCGTAGCTTTTCCTGATTAAATTAACAAAACAATGACTATCAAATAAATTTAAATATTGGATAAAAAAATAGATATAAATAGTGAACCTTATATGCTATAATTGTAACACCCTCCCACAGTGTATAAATGCAGATATAATATGCTTAGTATTGAAAACATCTAACAACTTGAAGATCTACCATACGTGTACTAGATAAAATTTTATAGAACCTTCTCCATGGCCATTGAATCATTATGTTCTGCTTCCAGGCTGCTGAATTTTGATTGAAGTTCTTCAAGGATTCTTTTGTGCTAAACAAAAAAAGTGAATTGTCATCAACTTTTAAATATTATTTCAACCCCAGTGTCATCTCTTCTTATTGTCTATTATATATTTCTGACAATGACTTCTTTGAGAATTTGGTGAATGCTACATCAAACAAAATTCCCTCGTCAATGGTTTTCTTTCATCACCTCTCTGATTATCATAGTGCTGATATTTTGGTTAACAATTGTTAGGTTAATCCTTGGAATCCTGAGAATGAAAGAGTCAAAACTGCCTCTTGAGTTCTAATATTCTTAATATTTATAGGCCAACAACATGTTTTGAAATCCATTCATTTCTTACCTCCTTCAAAGCCTCATCTGTCTGAACATATTTCTCTTCAGCTTCTTCTTTTTCTTTTTTGAGTTCAATTTTCTCCTGTTCCATTCGTGACACAGCTTCTTTTTCATTTGACAGGCATTCTAGTAACTTGTTTCTTTCCTCCTTTTGTTGCTTGAGCTGAAATTTGTTCTTAACCTAAGTTGACTTGGCATATGAAGAATGGTTTTGGGGAAGAAAAATTCCACTAAGCAGCACCAAGAAACGCCTATGACACTGTGCACATAGATCTGCATGTATGTGATTAACACAGTATTTTATACTCATCTAATATCTTCAAGGCTTTCTCAGAAGAGTCTGAGGTGTTAAGTATGGGTCACTTGGCAAGAAGACATATCATGCAGCATAATAATTTCTAGGTATTGACACATTTTTATAAGTTTAAAAAACAAGAAAACAACATGACAGCTGCTCTACAAATGACAACCTGTGATTGTTTTTCTCTTTCAGCCTGAGCTGCTTTTTCCTGTTCTTTAGTCAAAGCCTCCACAGCTTGTGCCAGCTCTTTCTCAAACTGGAGCAACATCTGGAATTTAACCATTTTATAGAATTTGAAAAGCATGTAGAAATAACCCTAAGTTTCCAATGATGTCTGTCAACATAAAAAAATTCTCACCTCCTGTTGTCTTTGCTGAGACTGCTCTGCAGTTTCCTGTTCTATTTTCAGTTGGTTGATAATGGCTACCTTCTCACTTTCATGTTTTTTCCAGCCATCCACAACTTTAGCTAAAGTCTGCAGCAGAACAATGATATCACTAAAGAAAAAAGTGCTCACCCCTTAAAAAATGCAGTTGAATTCACAACATGATCACGAACACAACATATTTTATTGGTTTTAAGGATCTGTGTTAATACCAAGCTAGTTTCTTCAACTTTGTGCCAGTTTATTTTAATTTTTCACCACTCTCAGAAATTAATAAACTCACGATACTATTATCAATCAGTTAATCTGTCATATAACTGGAGATGATTATGAATGATGTAAAAAAGTACAGTTACAAACCTTGTCAAGGTTGAGGGAGGCACGGTGGCCTCATGGTTAGTGCGCTCGACTACAGATTGAGTGGTCCGGGTTCGAGCCCTGGCTGGGGTCATTGTCTTGTGTTCTTAGGCAAGACACTTTACTCTCACAGTGCTTCTCTTCACCCAGGTGTACAAATGGGTACCAGCAAATATGCTGGGGGTAACCCTGCGATTGACAAGCATCCCATCCAGGGGGGAGTAGCAATACTCCAAGCTGCTTCATGCTAATGAAACCGGAGTTAAGCGCCAGCCCCATGGGCCACTTGAGCCTGTACAGAGGTTTTACTTTACACAAACCTTGTCAAGTTGTTCAATCATAGCATCTTTTTTTCTCTCAGCGGACACTGCAACAGCCAGCTGCTGCTGAGCTTCCAGTAGCTGTGAGCAAAGAATCATTAATTAAACACTTTACTGTAAAATATATTCATGTTGAATCTCTACACATGGCTTCAAAATGAGTTAGAGTTCTTTGGAAACATAACACACAGACCTCAGTTCTTTTATTGTAGGGATTATTACCAAAAACATTTATGGGGACTTTGGTTGTTTTAGCCTTTGCTCAAAACAGATATTAGTGTTTGGCAAGTGACTGGACAAAAAAATCATCCAGCCTTTCCCATTATTTGATTCCATTGACATGTGAGTGTAATAAGCCTTTAAACAGATTTTGAATCATTTGTCTAATAATTAATAGCAGCCTTACCTTCCTATGAAGTTCCTGTATTTGTTGTTCACAGTGCTGAAAAGAAGCAACAAGTATAAAATTACTTATTTCATGATAGAGGTAAAAAGGACAGCCCTACCAAAGAGAGATGATCAACATTTGACAATTTCTAGTTTGCTACTTGCTAGCATCATCACTTATAAAAAAGTGATAGATAATGTAAAGTAGCTAAACCTGACACATCTTAATCTAACTGCATCTCTGTAGCACAAATATTACATCATTCAGTGTACTGTGCTGGTACAAACCTTTCTCCTAAACCTCTCTTTCTCCACCTGATCTCTAAGCAGGGAATTTTCAGACAGAAGTGTTTTCTCATTGGTGACTTTACTGGTAGGAATTGCATTTAACCTTCTGTCACTGGCAAATGACACCATCTGCCTGGTATGTTGATCATGAGATAATGCGCCTTGCTCAGGAGTTTGAAAATGAACCTATCACAAGAGCAATATTTCATAATCCATTATACATCAATAATTATATTTAATCATTGATTACAAATAAACTAAAAGCATTTAGAATCTTCAAGTTTGAAAGTAACTCTAATGTTAAGCTTGTACATAAAGCAGAAGAAAAAATTCTTTGAAATCCAGTTGACACACATTTTACCTGAATTTCAGAGAGAGGGGAAGAATTTGGAAGAAGTCTCTGCAACAAGGATGTTGTTTCCACACTTATAGTAGACTCTTTGTCCCCTTCATTTTCTTGTGTTTCACAGTCTGCAACAAAGAAAAACAATTGGTTTAATGGAGGTAGTCAGAGTTAAGTAAAATAACACTTTGACGACAGATATAGACTCAAAGTTCTTGTGAATGATTATTATTACACAGAAGTTGCCACTAGGTTAAGAATGGCCAATTATGGGTTTGTCACTTATATGGAATTACTTGAATTGATTCTCTGCCAAGCTCCTTTGTCTTCAGCAGCTGAGAGGAATGGAATGCACAGCTTAAAAGAGGGCAGAGGTGTTTATAGTAAATTAGTCACCTGTAGTTGTTCTTGGAGTTTGTTCATAATCACTTTGATCTGTGAATCCTTTACAGTTCTGCAGCATCAGTTGCAGGTGTTCTCTCACTTGCTCCATTTCCTGAATATCTGCATTTGTCATATTGCTTACCTCTAACACTGACTGAGAAACAGTAAATGGAAGAGAGAAAAGAAATCAAAGGAGTGGGGAGTTTGAGGGTCACCTCATCTATTTTCACCCTGCCATTCAGGTAGAATAAAACCAAAGAAAACAAATAATAGATCCAAAAAGATGGATAATATATCTGTTAAGCTTAAGCTAAGAGTAGAGCTACAGTTTGCACAACCACAGAGAAGCAACAATAGATGTAAATTTGTGAATTCTTTCATCTCACCCCTGTTTCTTTACCCCTTATAGGGAATCCCCCATTACTAGTCTGTGCGGGTGGTGAAACGTCAGGTGTGACAGGATTAAATAGTTGCCTGTGTTGAGATTTAAGCTCATCTGCCATTGACATGGTGAGTGTTGTGGTGGAGTCAAATGGAATAGACGATGCTGTGGACTGAGGACTGTATTCCATTATAGAAAAGAGGATTGGTGAACCAAAGAAAGATCTGCAAAGGAATAATTTAGTTATGAAAAGCTGCTCTACAAACCATTGCTTTCTTTTCAATATCTTACTGATCAACTGCTCCAGTTTCAACTGCTTCTCAACCACTACAGCCTCTGATTACACAAGACCACTTTTCAGTAGTAATCCTACCGGTACAAATTGAATACACTAGCTCGTAAAAGGTCACAGTGACAAGCAAATTTGAGAAAAATTATTTGTTTCCACAAGAACCTATGAACTAACAATTTCTTGCTTTGTCTACTTCTAGATAATAAGTTCTTTAATATTCTTTAATAAGTTTTGATGGCCTCCTCGTTCCAGGCAAACCACACGATCCCGCAGTTCTTCACTGAAATTAGACTTAAATTCAAGTACTTTACTCTGTAATTCTAAGATATGTCGATCGGAATTGTGACCTTGAAAAAAATTACATCATCCTTGATAAAAGAAGGTAAAGCTTAAAAAATCATGAGGTAAGGCTCCCTTTCATCATGATATATTGATAGCGGCAATCAACATCATACAGAGTTATTTTAGGATCGAAAAGTGATTCTTCGATGATCATCAAAGATTAATAGGGAAGATGAATTTTGGAAGAACTCAGTACGAGTTGCACGTTAAAGCATCGATTGCATCTCTTAGCTACCTTCCATGGATATAGTCAACTCATGTTAAAGCTATCTTACCTAAATAATGGGGATCAGTGATCGATCTGGGGAGGTAATTACCTAAACAAAAGTAAGGAAAGTCAGTTTCAAAGCAACATCTGACCGTTGTAAAGAACAAACAAACCAAGGAATTATACACTAGTGCCAGTTTCCTAGTGAACGCGAGAAAAATCAACCTAGGGTAGGAGGGTGGCTGATTCTTGTAAGATAAATAGTTATTTGGTAAATTGTATGAAAGCTGTTTAATTTCGGCAAATTAAATGAAAATATAGAAATTGATCCTTACCATAAAATATCTATTCGTTTGTCAAGAAAATTTGGCTTTGATAAGATATCAAAGATACCTTTTCACTCCACCCCACTGAGGAATATTTGTCCACCATTCTGGCGGGAATTCTTTTATCAAACTAAAATCTTTGTTGAGGGGAATGTTATGTGTTTTGACTTTACGCGGTTAAATGTGAAACACATAAGAAGAAAATGGAGATTGATTTTGGTAAAAAGGGCACAGAATACGATTACGAAACTCAGTTCTTCGGGTTTACCCCTGAATCTTTCGTAGATGGAGGTAGTTAAATGTCGCATTGCACAAACGCCATTTTAAACTCGACATGTCAGTGATTCATAATGAACAAAGATCTTGTGAGGTTGATTTGCGATCGCTGTTTTGTTCCTTACTCATTAATTTGACAGTTTACAATGCTGTGAACGACTATGTTGGTGACTGCATTCAAGAGTTGGAAAATGTTATCAAAAGTGAGGTGAGAGAAGTATAGTTATTTTACTGCCTGAAATATTAAGAAACTTCCACAGTACAGCAAAAAACCCAGTACAAAACTAATTATTGTGGGTTTTCTTATGGCCTTTTATTTCCATTTAGCCCTCAGTGTCATGTGACGTATCAGAGGAAACGCTTCACAGGGTCAGGCCAGCTTCACTTTCATTTCTGATTTTGTTAAATCACTTAGTGAATTGCTACAAGTTGATGACTGTACCTCATTACACCTTTTTACTCATTTCAGGAGAGCGAGAAAATGATCAAAGGTTTTTATAAAAGTATTGATGCAGCTTTTGACAGATTTGAGGTAATAATAATAGAGACTCTTATGTCGTGGGCAAGTCAAGAATATTAATATTTGATTTCACTCTAGCAATCTGTGTTGTATGTTAACATTTCAAACTTATGGAGGATGTTGATGATTGATGATGATTTTATTCATACAATTTATGATTCTCCAGGTTTATGTAAAAAATAACATCTTCAAAATTCCTGCCAATATTCTTTTACCAGAAGACAAGGTTAGAAAATCCTTTAATATTTTGCCAGTTAATTTTCATATGAACAGGCTAAAAATCATTCAATATTGCTGTATTGATTTTGATGCTTAATGATTGTTTTTTATTTGTTTTTTATTTCTCTCCTTGGTACCAAATATAAAGGTTAAAATGAAACTCACCAACAACATAACATTCAAATCTGTGGCTCTCTACTTATTAATTTTCTTTTTATATGACAACCATGGTGATGTGACAGGTAGATAAAGTTTCAGGAGTACTGAGGTTGTGGGTTAATGTTGAAGTTTATTCCATTGTCGATAGTAATATCAGTTTAATGGGATGCATAACAAACTGGCCTCTTGCATGCTTTGACATTTCTCAAATTTGTAAGCTGGCAAGCAGATAACAAGTTACAATTATTACATGGGATTGGAAGAGTTTTTTTTTTTTAATAAGAGCAGCATTTTGAGGATTCTATGTGTGATGGTTATTTACCATGTATCTGTTTGGTGGAGTTTTTACTGATTGTTTTTGAGATGTTTTGGTAATTGTTTAGAAATATATTATCCAGCTTCTGCAGCATAAAATGACAATGAGTATTGCTGCTAAATGTGAGAGGAGGGTAAGAAATCACTGGTGACCCTGTGGTAGTTTCTCTAACAGCTACAGGTTACTCATTTGTACCACTGAAAATTAAAATTGTCTCACCTTAGAATATCACAGAGCTTTCCTAATCAGGCCCAGGAACTCAACAACTGGATCTAGAGTTCAATACTTAACAGTCATGTAAAATAGGGAATATCCCACTTAAGGAGTAAACATTCAGTAAAGGTTAACTGGGCATAATTGTGGCCATTTGTCACAGGTACATCACAAACACCAATGTACAGTAGAGGATGAAAAGCAGATTGATGAAGAGCTTAAAGAACTTGAAAGAAAAATCAGAGCAGTAAGGCGTAGCTCCTTTTCATTGCGTGTCTATCAACATTAACTATTCATTTGTTTTTAAAAGAATTATTATCTAACCTGTTCATATTATACCTTCTCGTCTTTAAGGCAAAGTATGTGAATGCAGCTTTGAGACAGGAAGTTAAAGATTTGGACAGTGCTCAAGAACAGGTACTGCTACTGAACAAGTTGTTGAAACTTACATAACCAGTCTTAAATTCTGGACATCTTTTGATGGTTTAGAGTGTTACTGGTGAGTTTCAGACTCTGCACTCATTATTGTCTTGGTATATTTGAATTATTTTGCTTTCAGCTTGACAACTTTGAAAACCACATAGACGCTGTACAAAAGGCATTTGAAGGCAATGGAGGTGATGAAGTCTACTTGTATACAACTATTGTGTACTAATTAAAAATTACATCAAAGTGGAGGTCTGGATTATTTTAAATTTGTTTCACCATCTGACTTAAGGCCAATGTGAATTCAAAACAACTTTGTTGAAAGAGATGATTAATTATATTATATAATTTTGTACAATTCCAAGGTGTAAAACAAAGCTTGACAACAACTCACGAGAAAGCAATCAAACTCTATGATTTAATAGCAGATGGACTCCACACTGGGACTTTTCATGTTCAGGTAGTAAATAATTAGAACATTTTTATATAACTTACACTGGTACTCTAAAGAAACTGTGGTGCTGTGTGGGTGGGAGAGTAGAGCAGGCAATTTAGTGTTAACAACTGAGTTGAAAACATAAATTGGCCACCGTAAAGAGTAAAAAAGCTGACTTTCCAGTGTTAGCCCTTTGTCAGAGCAATTGTGGGTTGTGTGTGGGTTTACATGCAGAAAATGGAGCTACACTATTAGTGGGAATGTGGTGTTGAAAAAACAAGAATAAATTAGTTGACTGAAAAGTGCTCTTAGATACGGTGGGGATAAAGAGTGCCAATTGGGAAGATGAATTTATGTTCTGGTGTTTTGTGCCTTTCCAAACTGCCTAGATGTAAGACTAATAGACTCAAATCCATGTTATTTTTCAGGAAAAATCTGATCAAAGATCTTCAACAGAAAGCAAACAGAAAAAAATCAAATTAGGATAAATACAATATGCAAGCCAATAAGTTTGCTTTATAAATGGTACCTGCAGTGTCCTGGGAAACCTTTATTGAGTAGCACTCTTATATGGGAGAAAATCCATTATGCTGGATATATTAATTGTAGAATAGAAAATACTGAGACTTCTTGATTACATCTATAACATGTCAATTTCAAAAATGACTTTTTTTGATAGACCAGGATCCATGATTATTTTTTGTTGTTGTTGAGAAAGTCATTTATAAAAGCTATGGTATAAAATTAATTAAATAATAATATTTTCATGGTATTTTATATGTTCATATTACTCTGTACAATTTTCATGTTCAAGAGAAACTTAGTAAACATACTTTTCACTAGTTATTTTATCATTCTGCTGTTTCAAGAATGTCATTCAAGCTTTCTACAAAAGGTCTGCAAAGTATTCTTTATACAATACAATGATTGTTAACAGAATAAAAAAAAAGTTGAAAGAAAAAGCTAAAGTTCAGAGCTGGTTAAAAAAGTTGAAATCAATTAGCCATTCAACACATTCTGAAAATTCTGCCCAAGCCTTGCTGTACATACAATGTGTATTGTAAAGAAACTGTGGTGCTGCATCAGTGAGAAAGTATAACAGGATAAGTTGGTTTTGTCAAATCCACAATTGTTAAGAGTTTCTAAGCTGATGTTTTGAGTGTTAACCCTTTGTCTTAGCATGAACCCAATGTCCATTTGCACTGAAACACCAGCTTAGAAGCTGTTTACAGTGGCCAATTCACATTATCTCGATATCTCTAATTATTTTTTGCATACCTTTTAACAACCTTTGTACACAAAAAGACTAAATATTTTTTAGCAAGGACTTCATCATTGAATTACTCTGAGAATACTTTGACCTTCAAAAACATGTTAAATGTTATGAGGACCCAAGCAATCTAAAATACTAGAACTTATATCTGGTATTAACATTATGAAACAGATAAATAAAAAATTAAACATAAGTTGTATTTCATGAGGTGTCAGGTGAAACTTGAAATTTCCCAACTACCATTGAAAACAATTTGAAACAACAGATATAACAGTCAAATTTTATGTGATTTTCATTAAGGAAAAACAAGTTGAATTCCATGTCAACCAGGTTCTTTTTATATTGACAGAGCTAACTGCCCATTATAGCTGGTCATTGCTTCTCCCTGGTTGCTCTAACATGGAATGAGGATAAGCATGTCTATGCTACTAGCCCATTGTGGGTAACCCACCAGCATTTGTTAGGTTAACCGTAACAAATTCCCAGTAGCTATTTATACTTGACTGGAGAGCAATGTGAGAATTAGTAATCATGTATTTCCCACAAAAACAAAATGCAACTTTTATATTTTCTTGAAAACCCAGTTCTTCCATCACAGTTCTTTCTAGATCAACAAGACAGTTACTGTTGTTACTGTTGAAAAATGACCAGATGTGAAGGATAACTTTTATATCAAAATGCTCCCCAAGTGAGTCTCTGTACATGATCAGTTTTCTGTCGAGTTGATTTGATGAATCCAAGAAATTGAAGTTCGGAAACAGCTTGAATGAAACGAGCACTACAACAGAGTTAAGGTATTAGTAACTCTTAGGTTCTAAAATAAAAATGCTACACACTGATTAACTGATAGACTGACTGATGCAATGACTGACAGACCCACTCATCAACTTATCAATGGACTAACAGACCAACAGACTGGCCAACTGATTGACTGACTGAATGACTGACTGATTGACTAATGGAGCCACTTTACTAACTGAAAAACTAGCTGACCTGCGAAACTGTCAGAATAACTCGGAATCAGCCATTTCATGTCAGTCTAAAGGTGAACATTTTCATTCATCCACTCTAAACACAAGGATACTGTAGCTGTTCATCCATTTTCTGTTTCTTCTTTGGAGAACATTTTAGTGACTGATGTTCTATTGGAGGTTCCAAAACAGCTGTAAATGCCTAAAAAAAAGGAATCCTAGGAATGAGTAAAACCTGTGGACCAAGAAGTTAACATCTGCATAGAAAAAATTCAAATCTGTGCAAACTCGCAGATGTTTGGAAATGTCTGGAAAAGAGGACTGAGAGAATCAAGTGGACAATTACCTTCCAGCATATCTCCTTACATCAAAGGCTAAAGAGAACATTAGATTTTGTTTCAGAAGTCAACCAAAGATTAGAGAGAGCAGCACCCATAATTTTTAGAGAACCTTCAAAGCTAAAACAAAAATTGGTAGAACAAGGCTAAAAAAGGCCACCAACCTGGAACCAGTCATAAAGATTGATTAGTCTGCCACACTCCAAGTGAAGTTTATAAGCAATGCACACGTCAGGTAAGGTGTCCTGAACTGTCCCTATGTCAGTCTGACAACAGTCGCACTGGAATTGAGGAAAAATATCACTAGATATTTCATAATTCTCTTTTCCATCTAGCCAATACACTTTTTGGAGTTAAATTTCCTAGGAGTTTTGTTAAGAAAAGTCATGATCCTATGATGTAGTATTATGTTTTAATATTTTCTGAAACATCTAAGCAGACCAGATGTGATTGGCTAATCATGCATTTGGAAATGTTTTTTCAGCTTTTTTTACAAGACACACTACATTACAGGATTTTTTCAATGTTACATGGAAAAAAGGAGACTATTCAAAAATGAACAAAAGTTACTTACTGTTCCAGTTTGGTCCACATGGGAAAAAAGCTGTGTTCTCAGTCTTGAGAACAGCATGAGGTCTTCAGCCTTCTCAAAGCTTTGGATGCAGATTTTTTCTAACCTTAACTCCCCACCCAGAAAATAACATTTATGTATTAAGAGCAGTACTCACTTGAAGGTAATGCCGAGGGTTACTTAAGGCTGTTTGTATGGCTACACGAGGCATTCCAACCACGTGCTAAAATGCAAAAAAAACCAGAACAAACAATCAAGGAAGATCATGACTGGCCATTGAAACCACAATTTCATAATAAAATGATCCCAGATCAAACAGTATGACTTTATTAGTTACCATAAAAAACTACCCCAACCATCACAGCACAATCCATTTGGCTGTTTATAAGCATGGTGGATAATGTAAGTTCAGAATAATGCAAGGAAAATCATGTTGGTGGCTGATGGCAACTTCTCTTATAACCACACTCATTTGTACACCTCATTGCAACAGGACAATACCGGTACTTATTTTTTTCTAGTACATCTTGGTGGGAAGGAATCTGAAATCCTAGAATTGATAAGTAAAATATTATTGTAACCAGCCCAGTTTTTCACAACAGGTACCACAGTCTAAAATTATTTCTGTGTCAATTGCAGCTAAGCAGATAAAAGCAAACCTGCAGAAAAAAATTAAGAGGTTGTTAACTGGCCTTGGCCTAGGACCATATTCCTGACCTTGGACGCAGTTTTCATCTCTACAGACTTTGTTTAATAACATATATAAACACAAATGACTGCTTGCAAACCTTTCTTGTTTCCTGTAATTTGTCATAATAAATGACCTCATGCAGAGGCATGTTTTGTGGACAGGTCAAAAATGTTCTGTTGAGAAAATTAAAAAGGGATAAAAATTTCAACATTACAGTAATTTTCCTCCTGAGAAGCTTGTCTGGCTGAACATTAACCAATCCTAAAAGAGTTCAGTGCCCCATGGAATTGAAACCAAACACCTTTATTTCCTTGCCACGTGTGTTTGTATATTATCACTGACTAAAAAATTTTGACAGGTTTACTCCTATTGAAGCTCAGTAACTGGTGTACAAAAATGGGCAGATTGAAATCTAATTTGTGTTACCTGAACATCTCATCCATAGCATCAATTGTTTTCTTTCGCAAGTTATCATATGGGGATTCTTTCTTCTTTTGTTTTGCAGCACTCATTAGTCTCTGTCATTGAGTAAAAAAATCATAAATTCAAGAGTATTTTGAATACCATGCCACAATGAGAACAATGAGAGTTATGAAGGGACAAAAATTTGTTTTTCTCTTTATTTGTACCTCTTGAAGTTCAAATCTGTTGGTAACAGTGGATAGTGCTTCCTTTCGAGTGGACCTTTTTTCCCAAGTCTCTTGGATTCCTGTGAACAACCAGCAATGATAAACAATATTTTCGATATTCATTACATAACTGTTCACACATAGTACATTTGAAAAATAATTCAAACATCTTAATTTACCGCTTATTTTGTCAAATTGTTCGAGCAATCTACAAATACCATCTCTTGATTTCTTGAGCTTTTGGCAATACCTAAATCAAAACAATCATACAGTCAGTTAGTGGTTAAATATTGTTGACAACCTTGACTTGAAATTGGAAAACATTTCTCACCTTCCTGCTTCAGGAGAGTCCACAGCATTCCCTAAAATTTCTACACATTTATTAAGAAGAGGAAGAAGCTCATCCCTCGAACAAACTCTGTGGATACAAAAGAAGAAAATTTAATAGATTGGACTAACTCAGCTGCCCATAAAATAATGAGTTTAGAGATTATTTTCATTCACATTTGTCCTAAAATTTGTTTGAAGAAAACAATTTCTAAAAGTAGTCTTGGCCTAAGGTTATATTAATTATGGTTAGGATCACTTTTATATTCACATGCTCAGTACTGTAACATTAAAAGATATTAAACGCACATGTCACAATGGCAAGATGTCAGATCAAAAACATGAGTTCTTGGGGATGAAATGTGCCTACAACACTTGGGATCCTGACTGTTTTGTAAAAAATTTGGGAACCTCCATATTTTCAACATATGGAAGAAAATTTTGACAAAGTTTGACATAAGACTTCTATCTTGAATAAATATCCTAACACACATAGTCACACCTGAGCAAGGACAGTGCCTCCTTATATTTTTCCTGTTCATAAATATCACTTGACAAACTGTTTTCATAAACATTGTGGGGCTGAAAATGTCGATAGAAATCAAACATTCAATTAATGAATAGAGCACAAAACTTTGTGGTAATATCATGTAAAAAATTAAACCCTATGATTTAAGATGCATAATTATACAACCTTCTTTCCCAGAGGATGTTGTGGAAGATTACAGGTGAGAATATGGAGACAATTTAACACAGGGAAGAAACTCCAGTGGTACTCATGAAAGCTTTTTAAAAGCTCAGCTATTGCTTCCTGTTAAAATAAGAATTTATGGTGGAAGATGGGTTTAGTGTATGACATCAAACAGCCAACAATCATTCAAACTTCATTAAATATGACTCCTAGATCAACAAACTAACCTTGGCAAAGGAGTCATCCAGTAACAATGGCAGTTGCTTTGATGGTGGCTCAGATTCAACATATCTGTAACAAGAAGAAAGGACTGAACTCATGAAAGTAACTTTCAGTCAATTTCTGAGCATTAAGCTAGAAAAAATAAATTTTTGTTTTGAAAGTGAATTTGAACCTTAACAGAAATTTCTGTTGTAGAAAGAAGCCTACATTCCTTTCCAGCTTCAAAAGAATAAAATACAGTTTTCAAGTATTATCTGGCAAATGCTCCCATGATCCCACACATAAATAAAAGGTTCTCCTGCAAAACCTACTGAAGTGAGAGATGGTAGACAGAATAAACTGTAAAATTTACCTGCGAAAAGACATTGTTTTTCTAAACATTTCCACTTGTTTATGACTCATTTCATTCAGCAAATCTTTTCTGTCATCTGATGACACACAACAGAGCACACTCAGAGGACTCTCAAAAAAATGCTCCATCAAACAGAACTGAAAAGATAGAAATAAAAAAACTCAACTTAAAACCCAAATAGGAAAGTATCACATCATGCCTGACATTTACTGTGTGAAACCTTTCACAGCTTCACTACTAATTTTCACGCTCCACTACTAACACTATGAAAACACACAAAACTCTAAAGCCCTAAGAGAGATTGAAATGAAACTTGTTTTGTTTTAAAGGCTCAAAATTTCAAGTTTTAGATTTTAACAATACCTGAAGTCCTCTGGAAAAGTTCTGAAGTGAGAAATCATGGAATAGAAAATTCTCATACAGTAATCTTAACACTTGTGCACTAAGTTTGAATGGAAATGTGGCAGTCATCAAAACCTATGAAAAGCAGTTCATAGAGAAAACATCATTATAACTGTAAAACATTATTGTTATTGAACACTAAGAACACTTTCCATTTAAGGCTCACCTTGCTTATGACCTCTAGAACACAAACATGTGATGGTTCTGACTGAAATCTCTCAATGGACAACAAACTAGATACAGCATGGGGCAAAACTTTGTGAACAGTTGTCAGTGCTGTGGCAATACCAAAGACTAGGACCAAAGGAAGTTCACTCAAGTATTGACTGTAAAGTAGAAGGAATTAGAATCATAGAAAATAATCATCTGTAAGTTTGACATGTTCAATTTTTTGCCTCTAGCTTTTTAAATGAAAACAATTTTTTCCTCTGAGAAGAGAAGGTAAAACAAACAGCTTTTAATGACAGACAGCAGCTTATACCTGCAAATCATCACAAAGTTTTGAACAACAGCTGGAAGAAAACCCTCAAAGTCCTCAAAAATGACAACCAAAGGGGGTTGATCTGAAAAAGGGAACATGGCAGTCAGAAAATAATAAGAATAACAAAAAACTGTTACTATAAATATAAAAACTGAAAATGATGAAAAGTAACCATGATTCACCTGAATACTGTGATTGCTGTCTGCTCTGTCTTCTTTTTGAATAACTGTACTGAAACACAAACAGTTCAACCCCGTCATTATACACAATTCACCTTAGTCTGCAGTCCTACATACTGGGTAATATAATATGGTGTCTCTCTTAAGTTAGGTTATGTTAATCTGTATAAAGTTTGATTGCATCCTTTGTAATGCAACAGATAATAAGATAAACAATGATCTTTACTGAGGAAACTTTTTTTAAAAAAAATGGTTTTCAAAAAGGACCTCAAAGATCGAGTCTAAAATATAATAAAAAGAAAAAAAGGAATTATAACTAAGAATTGTATTAGGAAGTTAAACATGTCGCTTAAATGCATTAATGTAGGCAGATTCTCTTATTACCTGGCTAAGTGAATTAAAGTCATTTACAGCATGATACGCAGTTCTTTGTTTCCCCCAGTTCCTTTTAACACTGGGGAGTCTAAGATTGGCTTTATTAATTATGTTGTAATTATGTTGCTGTTGCTGTGTTACTTAAGTAAATTCATGGTTTATAAGTCCATTTAGCCATTTGTATACATGCACACATCTTCACTGGAAATGCATTTTCTATAATGGTATCCACTTCAGAGTCGCTAACACAAGCAATGCAGATGAATACAGTAGACGATCTAAAATGATTTTAGCTGCCTTATTTTGCAAAACTTGTAGGCTTGACACTAAAGTTAAATTATGCTAGTCACCCCAATCTAGATCTGCATACTCAGATAAAGGCATGACAAGACTTTTATAAAGAACTTAGCACCCTAAATGGTAATAAATGCTCAATACGCCTAAGTAGACCAAGCCTTTGGTTAATTTTTCCTTCAATGTATTCGATGTGATTAGTCCAAGTAAAATCAGATGATATTAAAATTCCAAGATATTTTAAACAATTGACATTGTTCACATCATGGTTAAAAATTGACACAGAGCTACTTTGCTTTCTACTTTCCTGTTACAGCCTATGACCATGTGTTTGGTTTTCTCCAGACAGGGTTGTTAGTGTCAAGAGTGCAATTTTCACAAAGGAGACAAAAATGTCGCACTCATGATGACAATCTTGGGAAAAGTAACCTGGAAAAATTGATAAGCATAAGTCAGACTTGCAAATAAAAACCACATAAACAAGTGTGTAAATAAACCTTGATCATTTTCCCATACCAGCGGCAAAGTACAGGCATTGTAAAACTGCTTAATTTCTGGGCTTGTTCTGAAGGAGACAAATCATCCTTATCCTTGAAAAAAATAACAATTACATGTCAATTTAGAAGTCCTTCAACCACACTTTTTACCAAACTCTCTGATTTCTCTGTTAGTGGTAAACCAGGCATTGAACTACAGATTTGTCCATTTAAGCCTATGGCAAATACTTGATGATCAATATATTCACATCACTATAATATTTAATATAAAACAAATGATGTGGTAAAGCTTACCTGTATATCAAAACTAAAGAACTGTGATATTACATTCTTCATCGTTGCTTTCATCGCTATAAAGCACAAATTTGACTTTTAAGCAAAAAAGAATAATAGCCAATGTTGAAATCCATTGATATAAGTTCTTGTCTAAGAGAATGGGCAAAGAACCTAATCTACAACAAAATAACAAGCTTTTTTAACCCCAAAAATTGTTCAATATTAAATAAAAATTCTTAAGTTAGTTTGGAACAAAATTTTAAACACCTTACAATAAAATTCTCTTTAAAAATTATATCCTGGTGTCATTTGAAATTATTCCTTCCACACTCAAGTTGTATCAAAGACAAATAATATCTCTGAAATTTAGGCAGAAAGGAAAGATGGAATAAAAAGCAAACCTGTGCAGTCTTTGGACCTCAGTAAAGCAACAAATGGAGTAACATGACTGTTTAATTCACTGGCTAACTGAGAGAATACAACATCATGGTCTGGCATATTTACACCTGAAATTATAAATTACACAGTTCAACTTAATTTGTAAGGTTTGCCATAATAGCACACCCGACAAACAAGACTTTTATTCTCTTTACCAGTTATGAGAGCAGCTGTAGGTATTTCTTGTACGACACTGGTCCTCCCAATTTCTGATGATTTTACATTCTGTGCTCTCTTGAAAAATTCCACGAGGTCAGAAAATATTTTACTGTTCATCTGTGACTGCAGAACCTAAGATGATACAGCAACAAGTAGTCATAAATATTTCATTTCGTTCATTGTTTAATATGTCATTTAATTCCGGATTTAAAAATTCCTTCTGCTTTCTAAGCCGTTCCTGCTTTTCATGCCTCTCTTTCCTTAACACATTAGCAGAATACAAGGTCTGGAATATTGTAAACACCACAATATAACACGTATCACTGGCACCTCAATTTCACATTTAATAGATTCCCAACACTTTTTAAAGTTTTCATATCTCTGCTTGCGATGGGCTATACTTTCTCCAGCAACCTCTGGAAATATATCGTCTGAGAAGAAATTAAAAAAAAGAAAACTTCTGGTCATTAACTTGTTAGACATGATGAAGTGGTCTGTGCCTGAAGCCAAAGAAATAGGTTTGAAATGCATTCAGTCTTCACAGTAAAATAATCGACAGATTGGCTGTTATCAGACTACGATGAAGATCGCAGCTTTGCCTTTTATTTGTGCGCTAGTTCCCCTTTAAATTATCAAGATAATCCCAGGTATGGCTGATTTAGAGGGGAGATTGTCAGATTGACAAAGCAAACTTCGGTGACATGCTTGACATGAACGCTTATCCGGACTACCTGCACGATGCTTTCTTGGAGAGTGAGCCGATGATTTCTTGATCAGAAAGCAGCCCTAAAGTTCAAAACAACCCATGACTTATTTAAAGAAGTCAAAATCAAACTTAATCTCAAAAATTCTTAATTAAAAGCAATAAACCTTGGAGACTGAGGTAGTATCCTCTGCCATGGTCACTGGATAACAAGTTCATGTGATAAACTTTACAAAGTTCCAAATTTTCGCGGGCGCGTTACGTTAGCTTCAGTTCCTAAGTACGTCACGTATGGGGAATTATTAATGTTTGTAAGTAAAAGACATAACATGAACGGAGAACATAATAATTCCCCGTACACGACATACCAACCATAATCGACATTATTTGGCGACCATACCGCTGATAGGAAGCCAAAATGATCTTGGGCTCGAAATTGGCATTAGTGCGGTTCAACTAATCACAGCTGTCCCAAGCTCACATCTCGGGGGCATAGGGTAAAATATGGAGTGGACGAATTTTTGGACTATTTTTTAGACCAGTTCTTTTTGGACCATTTTGTCGCGGGGGAAAACACACCATTAATATTCAGGGAGGGGTGGGATACCGTATATCAGTACCGAGGGAGGGGTGGGAAGCAGAGTGTGATCACCTAAGGAGGGATGAGAGAGGGACTATTACGACGCAGGGAGGGGTGGGAGGTGGTCGTAATAATAAACACTTCTGGTGAATGGAGCTTTTACTCGATCGTACAAATTATTTTAATCGGTTTTTCGACTGACTTTTTGTATGTCGAAATTTTTGCGCTAGGCCGCGGCGTTTATTCATTTTTTTGTCATGCGAATGCGAAACTGCCACCGAAACACTGGAGTTAAATTTTCATTACGCGAGGAACTGTTTAGAATTTAAAAGCTTTAAAAGGAATGGCATGGGAATCGAAGAAAAGGGGAATTTACAACGCCATATATTCCGAAATAAGAACATTTTGCACGTAAGTGTCACACGCTTGTAAAATAGCAAATTACGCATCACGTTGTGATGTCTGGTCCCGCGTCACGGGGACAATTTGGGTTCAATCGCGTATCACCCTGCAAATTTTGGGGCCATCACGCGTCACACAAAAACTCTTTGCCACCCTCATATATCAAACGTAAATGAAGGGAGAATCTTCCATGGTTGAGCTCCCAACTACTATACAGTTTTAATTTTAAGTTTTAATTTTTCTTACAGCTTTTGTCGATCATTTTCCTTTCGTTCCAGCCGTGAATAAACAGACAAAAAAGAAAAAAATTTAGAGCGAGAACACGAAAATTAACTACTAAGAGGGTCCCCAATAGGGTTCTTCAATCCCCTGATCCCGACTAAAATTTTCTCTCAATCCCGTAATCCCGACGGTTTATACCGGCCAATCCCGATCCCGATCATACAATTTTGTCTTAGCCCATTTCCTAAACTTAGAAGGGCCTTTCCGGTGGGTGATGATTTTCTTAACCAGCATTGATCCGTTGACGTCTATAGTCACCGTAAGGTGCGAGTTTATCTCTTTTCACCTAAAGGATGATATTGTTCATTTTAGAAGTTTTCAAAGTTTTGCACGAATAACGTACGCTAGTCTCAGTAACGACTTCCTTTCATTAAACTTCGATCACGGCCAAACATATGGGTACAGGCAAGTCAGTATCAAAGAAACAAATAACAATTTCAACAAGTGCATAAAACACAAAAGGTCACGGCAATCCCATGGTTCCATAACAACGGAAATTAAGAAAAATTAACTGAACACAATTCTGCTGTTGAAGTGAATACTTCTTCCAAGGCGGGAATCTCTTCCGAGGTAAAAATAAGCCTCTCATTCCACAGGTGAAATGTCATCATTTCCTGTTTGACAGAGAGCTGACGCACTGCGGCAGCAAATGTTTACGCTTAATCCCTCATCTTCTGTATGCTCTGTGATGCCATCAGCACAGGTGGTAACGGTTGAATTGCTGGTATGGCCGACAGGATCCTGGCACGTTCGGGTACAGGATACCAAGGATTTGGATTTGTTAAATAGTACGCCGCCCAATGGGTTGTCCTCATTAAGCCTTGGGCTCCATTTCCATAGTTCCTTGGGTAGTCCAACACCGTGAAAAGTTTATCTTTGTGATGCACAACCGAGTGAATATTCTTCACATCTAGTGTCATGTAACTCAACAGGTTAAGAGCATCATATCGGTATAATTCTGAGATTTGCAAGAGGTTTTTCAACGCCGTTAAGCATTTCAGTAAGCGTAGCCAAATTCCCGGATCCCGGACTTTAAAGAACCCTGATCCCGAATCCCGAAAACCTATTGGAGACCCTCATATAATAAACTCAATTATTCTTAGGCAGGAGTTTTTGGGGTTCTGTATTTTTGAGACACCAATTTGAGTCTAATGCCAGTGGCATAGTTAGAAAACTCGTTCTGACGAAGGGCTTACGCTCGAAACGCTACCTTTTAAACTCTTTACGGTGGCCAATCTACGTTATTAGTTGAAAATACGAAATGACCTTGTTGCAAAATGGCTTGGCTGTCGCCAAGTTAAAGTCAATTTTCTAAAGCTGGTTCCTTCACGAGCGGAGCACAAGCTGGGACCTGGTTTTCTCGGAAACTTACTTACAAAACGCGAACTTGATTCTATACTACACCCTTTACTGATAAGAAATTTTATACATCAGCTATAAAAAAGCCGATTTCTTTTACAAATTTAATGCTATTTCCTTTGTATTTTCTAAAGGAGGTTTTGTTTTGCGATGTTATCTAGCAATCGGTGAAAGTATCCATTTGGGTGAGGAGCGCCATACCATTTCCTGTAGGTATTCAAAAAGGAACTTAGCGGTTGTGTTATCCTTCATTCTATTGGACTGGTCCTTTACTGTGCACCAGTTGCTTTCCGCGTTCTGAGTATGGGCACCGGTTCTTGGGTCAACAAAAAGCAGAGAATGAATTATTGTTCTGTGGTGCAAACCGAGTCTTCTCTGCAACTGCTGTTAGGTTTCCCAGTGATCCGTTTGTACCAACGAGCCTGGTTGTACCTTCTGTTGGATGCTATTGTGAACCAGGAGTCCTGGATCACAATAGCTTTTTGTTTAATCTACCACTACCTTGTTGTTACAACGTCTACTTACTTCACCAACCACTATTAATGCCAAAAAGCTTAGCACTTACTTACTCGTTTGGTTGTATTTTCTTGACCTTGGGAGCTGATAACACGCCTGAACTCTATGCGAGATAGACGCACATATGACCGCGTGTAATAAACAATGTGAAGCACTAACGGCTAATTTAGAGATAACCTAAAGGGCTAAGATAACACTCACGGATGTGAGCCTCGCGCTATTAGAAAGTACAAAAGTTTCATACAAATAAAGCGCTTAAAATCGCATGTATATTTGGTTAACACTTAACCAGCGGATAGCGATTTATCCGGTAAATAGCGCGGTAAAATTTCCGCACAGCCCCATATTACATTATGCATTCAGTTTTTGGATAAAGGAAACAATGACAAAAACAATACATTGCCATT